TTTCACTCATATTCAATGATTTTAATAATAATTCGTGCCGATAAATTATTCAAATTTTCAAATTATTATTATATACATAGCTATAAATTTTTAACGAGATACTATACTTGGAAGATGGAGACTGTATATACAGGAGGCGAAGCGGCCTATCCTATCTTCCCTGTACTAAATTTTCTCCCAAAGACTTGTCCCCACTTATACCAATGTTACCAGGAGACCCAGCGCCTCTAGTGGAAATCACCGAACCATGAGTACATATTAATGTATTTATTATTTGTTATAATAATTTGGATAGTCGGCTCACACATGTTTGCATCCTGCATGTCTCTGCCGAATAAGTATATTAAGATTGGGGTGCAAACTAGTTTTCTGTGAGTAGTGTTTTATTTCATTAATTGAAACTAGTGTTGTTTAAAATATATGTTGTCTGTGGTACCACCATATGCCGACTATTAATATTAATAGTGTATTGAAAATTCTTTTTATTGAGTCTTAGTATCAGTTCTATTATAGTTCTTGTGCATATACTGAAACATATCAAACATGGAGCCTGGTTATTATGCCAAAATCAAATATCTTAATGATAATTTTCGAGACGTTAAACCAGTAAATGAAATTTTGGAATTTCAATCAAACCCAGATGCAATCAAACATTTTGACAAAGACGCAGTTTATACAATTTTATGGCAAAAAGACAAAAGTGTACCACCTATTGAAGTTGGGATCCAAATTGCTGATATAAAAAGTAAATTATTATAATTTTTATATACAATAGTATCATTATATACATTTATATCATCTCAGTTTACAGACTTAATTGTGTTCTCACTAATTTCATTTTTAGTGTTAAGAACTGGAGATGAATTGAATTGCTTCAAGGACAAGAGAGGTGTTTTTAGTATACTGAATCAATCAGTTTTAAATCGATATTACGATAGTGATGACTACAGTAAAAATGAGAATGACGGCAGTGATTTTGAAAATGATATCAAGGAAAATACTCCACCAAAAGTAAAGAAGAAAAAAGACTTGTCAGAAAAAGAGGTTAGAAATAAAGAAAGATGTCAACAAAAAAAGGTTAGTTTAATTATCTAATTAGTGTGTGTGAGTGAGTGAGTGTGTGTGTGTGTGTGTTTTTTTTTTTTTTTATTGAAGAGAGTTGGAGAATGCTTTATGCACGTAACGGCCTTCCGGCTCGTCCTGTGTGGGAATCCCTAAGCATGGTATACCCACTAAACTCCCATCTCTCTATGTCCTGCCTGTATCCCCCGCGGGAACCGCCGCTAGGCATTACTTCGTGGGGGGGCTTCTGCTATATTAGCCTTGTCTTCTTCATTACCTTTCGGCTGTGTATTTTTCTTCGATCTTCATCGTCTTCGGCTATGTTAGCCTCGTCTTCTTCTTACGGCATCGATTTACACGTCTTCTTCCAGCGGCATCGTCCGATCGTCTTCTTCTATCGGCATCGTCGGGTCATCCTCTGGACAGACTCTACCTCGACACCTACGTTCCTCTGCATCGGGTGAGGGAGTCTGGGCTCAACCCAATATCCTTTGCTCTCCCGCAAAGGCATGGGAGCGCTTAGGATAGGCTGGCGCCTCGTTATCCTATGGACATAGGTGACCTCAGAGCCTACGTTCCTCTGCATCGGATGGGGTAACCGCGCTCTACCAACTACTCTGTGGTAGTTTAGGAGCGCTTTTTAGTCCCATAGTCTGGCACCTCGCTCTATCTATGCATGATAGACCTGTCGCGTCTTCTCTCTTCCTCCTTTCTTACTTCGGTCAGCCGGTTTACCACTGACGTGGCAAAGGTCACTACCGTTTCCCATCCCTCTGGCGAGCTGAGCAGGCAAGCTCCGAGCCCTTCGGGACTCATTGGATCATTCCACTCCGTGCGGAAATGCATCCGCTCTTCAGCGAAGCGGGGACACACAAATAAGACATGTTCTACGTCCTCGTCAGTGCCTGGGCAGGCTGGGCGTTCGGCACTCGCATATACACCAATGCGTTGGAGATAATTGCGGAAGCAGCCATGACCGGTGAGCACCTGTGTTAGTTGGAAGGTGAGGTGTCCGTGGAGCCTGCCTGTCCACTTGTCAATGTTCGGGATGATGCGGTGAGTCCAGCGACCTTTCACTGCGTTGTCCCATTTTCTCTGCCATTCTCGCATTAAATTTTGCGTCCACCGTTTGCTGTGGACATGTCTATCAGCATTGTTCTCTTCGTTACGACCTCCTTCACGGTATATTTCTGCTCTGTCGCATGCTAGTAGGTCGATAGGCGCTATTCCAGCGATTACCGAGACTGCTATGTCCGATACAGTTCGGTATGCACGGGCAACTCGTAGCGCTGTTGCTCTGCAGGCTCTTCGACACGTCCCTCCGTAGCTTGCATTATTTCTTAGCGCATCCACCCATATAGGAGCTCCGTAGAGAATTACCGAGCTTACGACCGACGATAGGAGGGTTCTGCGTGGTTGCTTTGGCCCCCCGACGTTTGGCATGATACCTGCCAACGCTCTAGCAACGTTAGTGGCTTTGACACCTGTTTTCGAGAGGTGTTCCTTAAACGATAGCCGCGCATCTAGTATAACTCCCAGGTACCACACCGCGTCAGTCGACTGTACTCGCTTATTTTCCACCGTGAATGTGGCGTACTTCCGAGCTTTTGTGCGGGAGTAAGCACCGTTTCCGTCTTTTCCGCAGCGAGACTGAGCCCATGCTCTTTTAGCCATCGATCCACCACCTCGATGGAGACGCTTCCTATATATTTTATCTCCTCAACGCTCTTTGCCGTGACCACTAGTGCTACATCATCGGCAAAAGCTATTATCTCTATTCCCCTTGGCAACTGCTGTCTTATTAGTCCGTCATATAGGACATTCCATAGCAAGGGGCCAAGCACCGATCCCTGCGGCACTCCTCCCGTGATGTTGTATGAGTGTGTGCCATCGTCGGTTTTATAGTGCAGGATTCGGTTGCTTAAGTAGCTCGATAGGGCTCTACGCAAATACAGCGGCACCCTCAGTCCTTCCATGGCTGTCATAAAGATGTCCCATCTTGCCGAGTTGAACGCATTTCGGATGTCTAATGCGATCACAGCGCACATGCGTCTTGCGCTCCGTCCTCCGCTAATGGCATCTTTGGCCAGGTCCACAACTCGACCAATAGCGCCTAAGGTTGAACGGCCTTTTCTGAAGCCGAACTGGTTTCCAGACAGGTCCCCCGCTTCGGCTATAGCTGCCTCCAATCTGGCATAGATTACTCTTTCCAGCAGTTTTCCTATAATGTCCAGCATGCACAGTGGTCTGTAGGACGAAGGCTGCTCGGGAGGCTTATTTCCCTTGGGTAGCAGCACCAGTCTTTGCAGCTTCCACGAGTTTGGAAAATGTCCTGCTCGCAGGCACGCACTAAATGTATCGCGAATTATTTCCGGGGCATTCAGTGTTGCCGTCTTGATGGCAATTCCCGGTATCCCATCCGGCCCTGGCGCTTTCCGGGTTCGAATTTTCTTCGCGGCTACTATCAGTTCTGCTTGGGTTACTTCTGTAAACTCGATTTCATCGTCTCTTTCCATTAGGCCTGTTTGTTCTGGTCTCTCCCGATGTCTTGGGAACAGATGTCGCACTACTCTGTCGAGGAATAATGGGCAAGATGGTGGTGCGCCACTCCTGGGTTTGATCTTGCGCATGACCGTTTTATACGGCCGGCCCAGGGGTCCTTATCTACTTCCTCGCAGAAGTCTCGCTAGCACTGTCTCTTAGCTGCTTTGATGGTGACCTTGAGCAGTGATCTTAGCTCTTCAAATTTTTCGGTCAGAGCTCGGAAGTTGGGCTTGTTCCTTGCTCTTTGATGGCGCCTTCTGGCTGTAAGACATTTATGCCTCAGGCTTGCGATGTCTTCATTCCACCAGTAAACCGGTAGTCTACCCCTTGCGTTGCTTTTGACAGCCATGGATGCATCACATGCAGTGTTGAGAGCTCGTGTGAGACCCTGCGCCTTTTCCTCCGCGGTTCCGGATACTGATATTCCTTCAAGGGAGTAGAGAAATGATTCTCTGTCGAAGGTATTTGGTGCCCATCTCCTCTTGTTTTCCGTTGTCCTGGTGGGTACCGCTTTTTTGGTCAACTGGAGCCGGTACATTATGGCTTGATGGTCACTGCCCGTGTACCGATCGCTGACTCTCCAGTTGAGCTCCTCCGTCAATAGTTTGGCATCTATGAAGGTAACATCCACTATGGACGATTTCCCCGCCTTGGAATAGGTCGGGGTCGTTCCTTTATTGGCTACCTCGAGCTCCAATACTCCGAACGCCTCTAGAAGTGCATGCCCGCGAGCATTTGTTTTCGCGCTTCCCCAGTTTACAGCCCATGCATTAAAATCGCCTGCGATGACCACCGATAGGCGTGATGTCATTGCGCTGGTAACAATGTCATCCAGGGATTTCTTAAACTCGCTTATCTCTTCGCTAGGTGGGAGATAGCAACTATATATACGCATGCCAGCCACTTCTATCCACGTAAAGTTTGAGGTTGGATCGGTCATCCTTGCCGATACGTGTAGGTGTCCGCATACCCAGACAGCCGCCCTACCAGTCGCATCTTTCACCCAGTTCGGCTCATCGAGATCACGGTACTTTTCGCTAACTATGACGATGTCGGCCATTTCCTCCCTTACCAACTGGTGCAGCAGCTCTTGAGCCGCTGCACAGTGGTTGAGGTTGATTTGGAGGACTTTAGTCATTTTTAGCGTGAGATCCCTCCGTCTTTGCGTCCGTGCAGACCGCTGCCTTATGCCCCTCCTTTCTGCACCTGAAACACTGCTTGGAGCGGTCTTCATCGCTTTTGCAGTCCTTTGCGATGTAACCATTCTCCAAGCACCGGTAGCATCTTTGTGTCGGTGTGTAAGGCTGAACTCTACAGTTCACCCATCCTATTCTCAGCTTCCCGTTTTAAAGTAGCTTTCTGGCCGCTGCTACCGGGAGCTGGATATGTGCCGCTTATGTGCCGTTGTATAGTCCTCTGATTTTTATGCTACTACTTGCAGCTGCCTCTGGTCCGATAACTGCAGCTACAGCTTCTATCACTTCCTCAGGTGTGGTTGTCTCATCCATGTCTTTGATCCTGAGGGTTTCTTTATCGGTCATCAGGTGGACTTCTGCTGACTCCTCAAGTGTGGCCAGGACCATCTCTTCTATGTTTGGGGACCTGGTTCCCGGTTTCCCCAGTTCGAGGAGTAGTTCTCCTGCTCTAGTACGCCGTATTCGGGTGATTCTTTCACCTATCTCCTTCATGTTGGGTGCTGCCTTGACCTTCCTCAAGATGTCGGCATACGAAGTCTCGCCCAGTGCTTTGATCTTAATAGCTTCTGGGCGAGGCTTCCTGCTCGTGGTCTTAGTGGTTTTACCCTCTCTAGTGCCTTCTTTTTTATTTGTCTCTTTTCTCTTCTCTTCTTTCTTCTTAGCTTTGCCCTTTCTTCTTACCTCTTTCCATTCGGAGGCTTTTTTCTCGGCAATCTCCTTTCTTTCTTCGCTCTCCCTTGTGAGCAGGGTTTTTTCCTGGTCGCTTTTGGCCTTCTTCGTTGCTGGCGGGATCGTCGGCGATTGCGTCTCTAAATTTCCACGCTTTTTCGCTTTTTCTCTAAAGATGGGCGATGTTTGGGTCTCATCGTCCCTTACCGTCAGTTTTTCTGTACTTCTTTTGGCCCCCTGGCAGGAGAGCACGCGCAGCTTCGCGTACTCCTCTATCATACAGTCTGCCGTTCTGGCCATGGTCTTCAGTTCTGCGTGGAGGTTCTTCTTTTCTAGAATAAACTCCACCAGCTTTTTGACCTTTCTCTCCAGGCTCTTGAAGCATTTATCAGCTTCACTGCAGTCTTCTTTTTTTTGATTTAATTGATTATTCTTCATGTTGGTCCCACGAGTAGCTAGGGAAGTTGTCGTCGATCCCACGCAGAGCCCCGCGTGCGTGGAACAAGGCTAGATACGAGGGAGTTTCGCCAGGTGCTTCCAAGGCTCTGTTTGAGACTCTCTGTTACCCCCGAGAGCCAACCAGGCTACATCGGCACGGGTCGCTTCACACCTTCAGCATGGGGGGTCCGTTACCCTGGACGGGTACCTTTTAACAAGGTGCTATCTTCCGGGCCAGATGAGCCTTGGTTTTTTAACGAGGTTGATACTCCTCCCCCTCCTCCTTCCCTGTTTCTTGAGTAGCAGGGTCCCGGGCTTGGGACCGGCGGTGGCGGAGTTGTGTGTGTGTGTGTGTGTGTGTGTGTGTGTCTGTTTTTTTTGTGTGTGTGTTTCATAATAATAAAATATACAATAATGTAAACAATTCATTCTAAATTCGTGATACAGAAGACCAAAAGGAGCTTATTAACAGTAAATTAGCTAAATTTGTTGGTACAAAAACATTATCGTTGGACGACGATGTTTCAAAAGAAAAGAATTTAGATAGTATAGAAGTTTTAGTTCCGATGACACATGAAAAAAAACCATATGAAAGTTTCTTGCAGGAAAAAGTTGTAAAATTAGAAGAAAGATGTTTACATTTACAAGAGGAACAGACAAAATTACAAAATCATATAGATATTTTGAATGAACGTTTAGAAACTTATAAATAATAAATGAACGTTTACAAATCAAGAATTTACAGTATCAGTTAAAACTGGAAGCATTGACTGAACAGAAGGGAATTGATAAAACATCAAAAGCAGCAATGGAGGCGAGGATCTTATTATAATAATACAATTTTTCATTTGGAGTAAACATTGATAAATTAAGTTTATAATTTCAAGTGGAATTATTTGAACTGATACAATTTTATGGCAACTGTGTAACACTCTGGAAACAATAATTTAAAATGAAACAAGTTTCAGTGTTCATTGAGCTATTGCCTGAGCTGGACGTGTTTAGTCTGTGCTCTGGTTTGTGTCTGGCTTAAGCCATTTCGTTATTTCTGACTCAGTTTAATCTTTAAAATTTCTCTCTATTTATGATATCTTTTTCGTTTAATGGTCTAATTATCAATCAATTGTTGTTTAACTGTGCTTGTGACTGTGACTTTTATTAAATAGTGTGCCGAACTGTTGTACCTGGTACATTATTATGTCGGAAAATAAATGTTTTTCCTGCCCATCTAAGGGCCCGATTAATGTGAATGACGCGGTGCATTGTCCGGGGTAACGATCGCTCTTCCATAAGAGTTGTGCGAGTAAGACCGTAAAGCTTTCTAACGGTTCTTTCAAAAAATGCTGTGGCGGTTTGGATGTTCTGACCAGAGCATCAGTGGCATCGGTGTCATCTGTTGACACTATGCTTACCGGATTAGTAGCTAATCCGTCTTCGCCTAAGTCTCTAAATGGCTCTCAGTCAAATCAACGTGCTTCGTGCAGCTCTTGGGATGATGTTCGTGATTACTTTGAAGGCAAATTGGAGGGCATGTTTGGTCTGCTCACGGAAAGATGTAATGGTCTGCAGCGTGCTGCAGACAGCTTGATTGCTCGGTCGGATGCCATGGAGGCCCAAATTGTTTTGATGCGGCAGGAGTTATCATCGATCCCTATTCAGACTGCCCGCATTAATGTTATTGAAGATAGAGTCTCTGCGGTGGAGAGTAAACTCGATGACTCTTCTTCCAGGATCGATGACGCCACTCTTGCTGAAATGTATGAGCAGAGAAGAAGAGAGCGTAATTGTATTCTCTACAATTTCCCGGAGAATGTCTCTTCGTCACAGGATACAATTGCTTTGTCTGCGCTTCTTGTTGGCGTAAAGTTTGACACCTCTGGTATGGCTACCTTGCGCCTTGGAAAGAAGGTCGATGAAAGAATTAGACCATTAAAGATTGTCCTTCGTTCTGCTGCTGACGCCCAATGGATCATGCGGCACTCTCCGGATATTTTTAAATCAGTTCCTGGCGTGAAGTGCGGACCTGATCGTACCATGCACCAGTGACAGCAGTTACGGGAGACACTTGCTCAGATTAATACCAGAACGCGGGCGGGAGAAAATGATCTTAAACTTAAGTTTATTAATGGCATCCTCGGTATTTCATCGTCAAAAAACGCGTAGATGCAGCCAGGATTTCAAAACAACTGTCTATTTACCACCAAAATATCGGCAGCATCAAATCATCAATTACCTGCTTTGTTCATAACGTGATTACTTGTGCACAGAAATTTAACATTATTGCCCTGACCGAATCTTGGTTGGATGACACTGTGGAGGATGCTTTGCTGAGGATTCCTGGCTATTCGCTCGTGAGACTGGATCGTTGTAACATTCGGAGTGGCAAGTCGAGAGGAGGTGGAATTCTTGTTTGGCTGGAGGATGCATGCTCTTTTCAATCTCTTCAAGTCGTCAACTTTAATTTGGAGCATGTCATTCTTAAGCTTGATTACGGAGCACCCATCATTTTGTCTGTTGCCTATTTGCCACCTGTTTCTTCTCTCTCAGCTGCGACTTTCGAATCATCTATGGACTCCTACTGTTGTTCCTTGGAGGAGTCAACTGCCAGATTTCCGGGGTCTGCCGTTCTTGTTATTGGTGATTTTAATCTGCCTCGTTGCTCGTGGACTGCTGTTGATGGTGTGCTTTCGGCTGATGCTACTGTGAGTGGGGCCATTCGTAATTCAGCATTACGATTACAGGATTGTATGGGCTCTCTTAAGTGTGCTCAGCTCGTCCAGTCTCGGAATAGTTCGGGAAATACTCTTGACTTGACCTTTTGCAGTATTCCGGCGTTCCTTTGTGCATCAGTGGATCCGCTTGCTCCGTCCGACAGATACCATGAGCCTTTGGTCATTGCTGTCAACGTCGTTGTAACCACTTCGACTGATTCTTTACCTCATAGTGCTCTTACCTCCTTCAATTTCAAAAGGGCCAACTATAGTGATATCAATTCATCTCTGGTATCTACTGATTAGGATGATCTTTTTGATGGCCACCAGCATGATGTCGACATGGTGGTTGATGGTTTCTACAGAAAGTTGTCGGAAATTATTGGCTGCAATGTACCTCTAATGGGCTCTTTTGTTGCTAAATTCCCGAATTGGATGTCTGCGGAATTGAGATCTGCAGTCTCTCAGAAGAAGTTGGCCCATCGGACATTTAAGGCTACGGGGGATGGTGGTGCACTGCATGACTTCAGGATCTTCAGGACGGCTTGTAAGCGCCTTGCGTTACGTGATTATGGCCTGTTTATTGAGGACGTTGAAGAGTCGTTGCAATCTGATCCGGGAGAATTTTGGAAGTTTGCAAATTGTAAGGACGGTCGCTCTGGTTATCCTGATAATATGTATTTTAATGATGTTGCTGCTCATCATGGCCAGGATATTGTCAACTTATTTGCGGATCGATTCTCATCGGTCTTTTCTGCGGCCTCTCTTCGGGATGGCTTTAACGGGCTTTCCTTCGACTCACATGCGCTGTCAAAAATTTTGTTCGTGCTCGAAGATGTGAAGCTTGGTCTTGAAGGTCTTAAACCTTCATCCGCGGCTGGGCCTGATGGAATTCCGTCGACTTTCTTTATTAATTGTGATCATAATTTGACTCAACCGATTCTTTATATTATGAATTTATCTTTACGTACAGGTACCTTTCCATCGGCCTGGAAACAGGCTTATGTTATTCCAGTGTACAAGAAGCGTGGTGACAAAAGAGGTATTTGTAGTTACCGTCCGATAGCCAAGCTGAATGTCCTCTCCAAGTTGTTCGATCGTCTGGTGTCCATCAAACTATCACCCTTCCTTCTTCGCTCTATAAATGTCTCCCAGCATGGTTTTGTCCCCCACCGTTCCACGGTCACTAACCTCGCAGAGTTCGTAGAATTTCTTACTGATGCTTTTGATCAGGATCATCAAGTAGATGCTATCTATACTGATCTCACTAGCGCCTTTGATTGTGTGAATCATCAATTATTAGTAGCTAAGTTATCATTTTATGGTGTTCATGGTCCTTTCCTCTCCTGGTGTTTCTCTTATTTATCCCATAGATCATACTCCGTAAAACTTCAAAAGTTTGTCTCTTCACCGTACTTGGCTGCTTCTGGGGTGCCACAGGGCTCGCACCTTGGTCCTCTATTTTTTATTATTTTTGTAAATGATGCTTTCTCAGTTATTAAGTCCTCTTATATCTCCTTCTATGCCGACGATGCGAAAATATTTAAAGTTATCTCCTCCGATAAAGATGCTTATGAATTACAGTTGGATCTGGATAGATTTTGTGATTGGTGCTCATTAAATGGGCTCTTATTGAATATAGATAAATGTACAGCTCTGTCGTTCTCTCGTAGTAAAGCGCCATACATTCATAACTATTCTTTCCTTGATGTTGTAATTGGTAGGGTTATTGAGTTTAAGGATCTCGGTGTGTTGTTTGATGGTAGTCTTTCCTTCACTTCACACATCACTCAGTCATGTATTCTGGCATCTCGGGCATTATTTCTGTTGTTCAGACAATGTCGTGCATTCAAAAGGCCAAGCTCTCTTATTGCACTCTATAATGCTAATATTCGCTCTCGTCTTACTTATGCGTCTGTTATCTGGGCGCCGCGTTTTGACCATCAATCTAAATCACTTGAAATTGTTCAGCATCGCTTCTTACGTTTTTTAGCTAATAAATTCGGCCCACGTATGGATGCCTTTTCTCATGATTACTCTGCCGTGGCACGCTCATTTCATATTTGCACTATTACTTCGTTCATCAATTATCAATCAGCATTATTCATTTATAAAATTTGTCATAACATTATCAATTCGATGGCCCTTTCTAATCGCATTCTCTATACGGTGCCCCCGCGTATTCTTCGAGCCCGTCATCACACCTTTTTTATACGTCCCCGTAAACGTAATCTTAATTATTTGTCTGTTATCGATCGCTCATGTCATCTCATCAATAACTTGTCATCT